TTTTTATCAAGACCCGATATCTTTTAGGATCGGAGATTGTTGTTAAAACATCCATTGTATGATAATTGTATTGCACATTTCACCATTCTTATTAACATTATTATTATCACCTGAGGTAGGTTCATTACTTTGCTGGAGAATTGCGCTTCTCCTGTTATTCCTTGATGGAGGAATCGACATAGTGACAACTTTTTTCACCGCTTTTCTTGATGGCCTACTTATCATGTCATTATCATCTTCTGATTCAGAAGAACTGAAAATTCGTTTTCTCCTTGTTCTTTTCGTGAAAGTGGTCCCAGATTCAGAATCCAGATCACTGTTATAATTTGCTTTAGCAGCTTTGCTTCTTGCAACATTATAATCACCTGAAAATAAGCAGATAATATTGAACCAAATATTCTTCAAAAAGAAGAAATTTCCATTAAAAAAAAATTACTTTCTTACATACCATAAGTTGCGTTTCTAAAAATCCGGACCTTGTGTGAAGACCGGCAACTGTTATATTCACAATGCTTCAACGCATTGTTCAACTTTTCTTGTGACAGAACTGGCCACAGACAGTTGACCATTAAGTCATTTTGTGGGCACTGCCTGCACTGCGTTGTCTGCCTCGAAACATACCACCGTCCAAGTTTTTGTTGGTGGCGATATTATTTATGCACCCTGACTGTATTGTGTCTATAATCTCCTTGACACTCACTTCCTCCTTTTCCTCGGAAATCTGCCATACAATGTCCTGTATACCTGCTTGTCATACTCATGTATCCACTGATCTCTACTGGGTATGATCGACTTGCCTGATAAGTCGGTGACGTCGACATGCATATCAAAGGTAAGACACTCTAATAGATTTACCCTAGCAAACCCCTAGATAATCAAGGGAATCTAGAGTCTTCGTTCTCCAGGTGTTGAATTTTATATTCTCTGATATCCTGTTTGACGTTTCCTCGGTGAAAGATAAAGCTGGCCAGTTTCTTTTCTCCCTAAAATAGGTCTTACGAAGGACCATGTAAAACATTCTTTTAATGTTTTCCGTTGTCTCACTTAAACCTGGTTTCATAACTGCCACGATCCCAATCCAACTTTTCACACTGCTGTCCATGTCTATAATGGGATGTTCAAAGCACTTCCAGAGGCCACTAATCTCCAAGTGCATATGGACAGATGCGGAGGTTGGAACAGGTCTTTTTAACCATAGAATAGAGGTGTGTTACTCAGATGTGACAGGCCGGCAGTCAGACTATCTAAGAAAGTGGTGTCTCATTCCTGGCATCTGAGGACTGGAGCAATGGCAAGGGATGGCAAACTTTTTAGAATGCTAGATGCATCTTCGGGATGAGTCTTGTGAAAAAGTGCCATCAGATTTATCATGTTCACTGTCTCGTTATACAGATTGTAGCTAGCATATTTGTTCCTGTTGATGTGGGAGGAAAGTAGAATGTCGAACCAGGAATTGAACATATCTCTAATACCAGCCAGGTGGGCGTGGGTAATAATCACAACTTCTCCCTAAGCACAACCCTTGAGGCGTCCTAACGACCAGGGTTGCTTAACCGAGCTGCTGTACACAATGCGATTGAAGAGGTTGTCAAACTCAGTCCTAATACTAAAAACTTCTTGTAACTTAGAAGTGGCCTTAACTGGATATGTGGCCTGTATATTCGTGTAATCTTTTATGCTTACTTCAATTGTTTTGGAGGCTATAGTCATCAGGGGTTCGGAACTATGATTGTTCAGAACTAATAAGTTGAGATTATTCATGAACCAGCTGTAAGCGTATACCGTAGATGCACAAGCTTGGAACCCGTTGCAGTCGCTCCCGTGTACTAAAGTCTGCTGAGATCACCAGTGAATGTGGGGAGTGTTTGGTTAGCCTCACTAGCTAGCCTGCTGACTCGCTTAAGGGTGGCACTTATTTAGGCGCTTGAAAAATTATATTCTCTAGAGTACTCGAACAGTTTTCTGGAGCGCCAGGTCTCTTCCTTCTTAATTGGGAGACCGCATTTTATTGATTCTGAAACAAGTTCACTCACAAACCAGTTGAGGTAAGTTTCTGGGTTAAGGTTCAAGGTGTGGAGATAGGCATGAGGTGGACTACAGATCAAGATTACTCGATTATTGTCCTGGCCTAATAATGTGGCTGATGTGTTCAATTCAATTCAATTCAATTCAATAGTGCAGGAAGCTTGAAAAAGGCATTCGCCTGTCTATGCGTGGGTCTATCGCCGTAAGTTGTTGATAGGTGCGTTCTATCAGGTCCATGTATCCGCCCATCTCAAAGTTTTGACAGTAGTTTTCTACTATGGACACGCCGGCGGCGTGCGGTCCGAGATCGTACAGTGGCTTGTCACGTGGAGCTGTCTCAATGGCCGCGGCGTATTTGTTTGGCTCATCCGCCTTCTTGGTCTCAATTTTTGGAGGGGGGTCTCCTCTACCACCACCTCTGCGGTTCTGACCTCGGCGCCAGTTTGCTGCGCGGTCTGTCCGCTTGTCTCTTGGCTTTGGAATTCGATCATCAAAGTCTCTGTAATCATTCCAATCCGTGGTGTTCCTGGATTGGAAGTTCTAGGCACGTCTTGCGTCTCGCGTATCGCTTCGGGGCTCTCCACCGGAATTAGCGTCGCGCAGTCGTCCTCTTCCGCTAGTCGCGGGGAATTGGTTTCTACCATCCATTGTTTATGAAAATGAAGCTTTATAAATAAATTTATTGCATCAAAATGATGTTGCATCTCTCTGCTACTATATTGATCAGCATGATGGTTATTGTTGTCCAACCTTTCTGTCTAAGCTCTTCCTGCCATCCCTCTGCGCCATAAAAGCATTTTGCTCCTGGTAGGGGATCCCCTGTGACAGGATCTTGCTCCGGTGGACAAAATCAATCCTGAAATAACAGGACTGACTGCATAGGAAAGAGATGGGTAAAGGTGTACACACCCCTGATACCAAAAAGCTTGTCGAACATTCTAAAGGTGGGCTCGCATAATTCATGCCTGTAGTTTATACACCAAGCGGAAAAGTCAACAACAACATATCTGAACTCCTAGCTTTATTTGTCCTTCAGAGGGCTTGTCATACGACTTATCACTTCGGTTAACTTTTCCTCTTCCATTTTCATGGTTTGCTGAGGAATATAGGGAAACACTCCTACGGCTATGTGGCAGTCTGTTGCAGTTAAATTTGATTTATTTGTGTAAATCGATATACACACTTACAAAGCACCCTGGCGGTAAGTGGATAACCAATTTCCGAAAGTCGGACAATCCGTTGAACTAGCTCTTCTTCTTGAGCATTTGTTAGTATGGTTTTCCGCCCTAGAGAGGACTTTTCTTGTTTTCCTTTTTCTAAATACCTTCGAAGTGTCCGTCTTGGTATGTGATACGTACGACTAGCTGTGCTAATTGCGCAACTATTTTCCTCCGCTCTTAAAGCTGCAGACAGATTCTCTTTGGTCCATTTTCCGCGCAGCCCCCGACACTGATAATGGGGCATTATTGCTTGCTATAATGAAATAATACACACTACAATACAACAAAAGCTATTCTGTAGAGTAATATGGCCACAAGAAGAGAAATATGGCCATGGCCATATAACCCTACTTCTGGAGATGGCCATGTTACTCAACACTGCATTTTGACATTTCTCTACAAAAAAATGGACAGAAAGCAAAAACGATAAAACAATAACATGGATATGTTCTTTAAAGCATGCAAAATGCGTATGACCAATTAAAATGATGAAATCTTACCTGGAATTATAAACAATTTCTGCAATTGCGGCTAAACGAGAGAATGGCGTGCTCGGTTCGTATTTGGGGATTATGGCGCCATCTGTTTATTCATTTCAGTACTAGAAACGTATTTTGGAGATATGCTAGTACCAATGAACTATAACCAAAAACTGGAATGCGTACACATATTGACGAACGTGAAGCCTAGTGCCGCTGCTACGGAGGGGATACCTGTTTTTGTCGGACTCATTTTGTTAAATGGCGGAAATTGCTGTGAAGGTAAATATGACAAAACTTTCCAAAACGTCATATGTCAGCGGGCAACAGAAAAAAACAACATTCCCCTTTGTGGCATCTGTCTTTCATGGCTTCATTTTTTTGGCAGATATGGCAATGTGTGCGCATTCCAGTTTTTTGCTATAGTTCATTGGCTAGTACTATCTAGCGATTAGACTGGTAATATTCGAAAAAAGTCAAGAAGCTATATTAGCCTACATTGCCATATTTACCTGCAGTTGTTACCTTATGACTAATTTACTTTTCATATATGGCGGAACGTATGTGCCTAATATAAGGAATAGGCTGTCCTAAAACTGGTACACCGTGAAATAGAGGTAAAATCGTATCGAATTCGATGGGAAAAATATATAGAAATGTGTTGTCCTTTTTTCAGGACAAGGTGGCCGAAAGGGTTAAGAAAGTGCTACAAATATGGACTAGTACCAAAAAACCTACAAATATCAACTCAAACGTGAAATTGGAGAAAATACATTTGAAAATGACAATATATAATACATTATGGACTGTGACAAAAATCACAAACATACTCGTCTCTTTCAGCACCTGCACAGTCGACATTGCACCACAGATTGCACATTAGACATTGAACCCAGAGTTCACCTTTGCGGTCTTCAGAAAATCGACTTTCACAAAAGATGCATTTCGCATCTGAATCTTTTGGTTTCTTTTGTCCAGGCATATCATTCATATCTAAGTTATCATCGCCTGGCTTATACTCTGTTTCATCGTCTACACTGTCAGACTCTTCCATTGATGACTGGTTTTTTTTTTTTTTTTTTTTGATGTTTTGGAAGAGATATTTTCGATTGTGAATATACAAAGTCAACAATATTCATAATAAATGAATGAAGTTCAATTTACCTATATAAAATTCATTAGTTTTTTTTGTTCAGATGATTTTTCGAAGTCTTCCTCAATGAGCTGTTTTCTTTTATTGATAATGTTTATCAATTTATTACAGCAAATAAGTTTTTTATTGTAAACTTCTATCTTGTCCAAGATTTTGTTTTTTCGTTTCATCGAGCTCATCTACCAAAAATCCTTTTTCAACAAAACGTGCGGCTTCTTTGTCGAATTCTTCATTTTCCGTCATCTCAATATCTTGAATTATATGTTGCGGAGTAACAAGATTCACGAATTCTTGATTCAAGTTAGGATCTGAAGGACATAGCAAATCCACAAACTCCTGATCCAAGTCTGGATCGGAAGTTATGCCTGGAGTCATTATACTTCGAAGGGCTTCTTCTGCTTCATCACGCTCTTCTAGTCGATTTTCTCCACGCAATATTATATTTTGAATAATCTTTACTTTCTTCTGTTTGTTGTCATCGTTGGAGAGCTGTGCCATTTTGTAAGCTGATGGTTTTGAGCACATCAGTTTTTTTTTTTTTTTTGAAAAACTAGTTACTTGGAGACACTACTATACACTTTAAAAGTAATTTTTGTATACCTATTACTTGTAATTATTATTATTATTATTAGTTATGTTATATCATTTGCTACTCGGACTGCTGAACTGAACTGAAGTCTAGAGGAGCTTCCATCCGCTTTTATTTGAAAATTTCGTTGTGAAAATTGATTTTTATTTTTTGTTGGAACTTGTTTACGGTTTAAACAGGGTGTGTAAAGTCTCATAAAAGATAAAATTTTAGTAAAATATTTTGTATCTAGAACAAAATATTTTAAATAATTTCTAATATAAAATACAAAAAAAATTAAGTTATAAAATTGGAAGCAAATTAAGTATTGAATATTTCATTGTTAAAGTTTGAATCACCCTATAGAATTTTTTATGGAGTTGTTGTACTTAAGTTCCTCACGGAGAACTGTGACAAAATTGAAATCTTAAGAAAAATAAATATTTTGGGTAGCGTGAATAATTCTATCACATTTTAGTTTACGTGGGTACCATAATTATGCTGAAAATTAAATTTAATCTGAAAAGGATCCTAAATACCAATTTTTCCGAACCGGAGGCAATCCAAACAAAAACCTCACTTTTTCTCTTCTTCGGTTATGGTTAGTGCAAAGGGTTATAGATTCAAGATGACTTACCCTTTTATTGCCAAAGTTGCTAACTCCCCTCCTCAATTGCACAAACCGGCACGAAAGATCTTTTTCGGCCACTACCAGTGATTAGAGCAATTTATGACACCAAAAATGAAAACTCCTTTTTTTAAAAGAATAAAATTAATTTATTTAAATTTCTAAAAACAAAAAGTAAAAGAGGAAATCATACCTAAACCCATTAGCACCAATAAGAGTATATTATTAATAGAGAACTTTTTTAGAGTATAACCGAAGCAACATCTATTTTACGCCGCTTTTCCAAATTTATTGATGGGTCTGATGAACTACTGCTTTCTTCAAGTTTACGTTTTTAGGAAAAGAATGAATATTAAAAAAAAAAAAAAAATTAACGAAGACAATGTTTGATTTCCAATTAAAGGTTTAGACTAAAAAATAGATTTTAAAAGAAATTGAACTGAAATAAACAATCACCTTCTTTGAAGAGCTTTTCCACTAATTACTGAGTGGTAGATGAACTTAGGAAAAGAACGGATCGAGCGACGACTGTGACGAACACTAACTCGGTTAAGTTTTTGTTTTATTCTAACAATTTCCGACAATAACTGCCGAAAACTGCATCAACTCTCGCTTGAATAAGTGAGAGAGAACCAACCCCTATTTCTTGAGAGTACTGCTCTTAGCAGCTCATTGGCTAGCTGTTAGTACCTAGCCCTCTCAATATTCCTTATTGCTCTTTCCTTATTGGTTCTCGTATCGTTCACCCTATTTACACCCTTAGTGACATAGTTTGAAAGCATTCCGATAAAGTTCGCTAGTCATATGAAGAATATAATTTTAATAAATGAAAATTACCGTTTTTCGTTTAATTGGAAAATCTTTCTTTCTTATATCTTCTGTTAACCTAGTTAAATGAAACAAACAGTTTCTTAATTACTAATAAATGTAACTGAGTAATAAACCTAATTACTTAGCCTAATCAACGGTGTGAAATGAATTAAATTATTCTATACTTAAATACTAATTATGCCTAAAATAATTGGGTAGTTAACTATCTCCTTTCTTATCTTATTTGTTAATAACATTTAATTCCTACAGTTTTCATTTCACCCTTGATTTTCCTATTACTATACAATTTTGTGTTATTGTATCTTGGCAAATCTGGTTCCCGTAATCATTGTTTTAGTTCACACACATGCTTCGAATATAAGTTCAGTATCAATTCTCTGACATCTGGGTTCGCCATAAAACGTTGGGAATTATCGTTCTTGAATACTTTATCACAAACATATGTCGTGATCTGGTGCAGCTATAGATTAGAATCACATTTGGTGTTTATCTTCTAGGAGAACACATAATTTTGCCTAATAACTTTGTCAATTTTGGCTTATATTTGACTTGAAGCTATAAAATTTGATACATTTTTTTCTTTAAGTGCTTTCCCTTAATTCTCGACCAGATTAGTTATCGTTCCCAGAATCGCCATATGTTTGTAAAACCCATTAAGATAACATTTTAACTATTTCTAAAAACCGTCTCAGGTAACTCCCATGAAATACGTACTTGAACCGAGATTTGAAATTTACTATTCATTCTGTTACACTCTAAGCCCATAATTTCTCATAAATCTTTTCATTTTGCCTTTTTTAGTTTCATTATACCTAATTAAGCTATCATTTTTAGGCAGTTTACTACTTATGCCCTTGAACATGAACTTAGACATAACATAAACAATCAATCCTATGATCAAGATACATAGGCCTGCCACATAGTTTTCATAAAGTCTCAAATCCTTTCAAAAAGACATGACAATCCAAACCAGTAATCACAATCGCTTCCCGGAGTTTCTTGATGAACAATGTTGGACATGCCAGACATAATTCTCCAATCTGTAGAAGGTTCTGTTAAATTGTATTTTATGTCACTTCACAGCTTGCTCTTTGTGTTTGCAACACAATATGAATAAGTTGATCTCTTATTTCTAACAAACATAAATTTTCTGAATTTGTTGTCTCCTCTTATTATTAGTTGTTGGTCATTCTGCACATAAGAGGATTCATCATTGGATTCTATTTTTACAACAGTCTGCTCAGTACCCTTTAAGGTCAATGAAAAAGTGCATATGACTCCAAGCTGACTCATATATTCTCCAATACAATTTTCAACTTTAAAATCTTTAATATTTGATTTATCACTAATGGTGTATAATTTAACATCTTGAAGAGCCACTTTTATCATCGTTCCCATAGTTTTTCCCTTGATAAACATAGTCCCTTTGTCCATGTTAACTGTGTGATCTGAAAACTGATTTTGACTATCAATTGTGCTATAATCTTTAATCCTTAGAGCACCAGGTTTACTATAGGTCACTTCCCAATATGGTGTTTCTCCAAAGTTGTATATCAATTTGGTTTTAAAATCATTGTATGTTGTAATTTTAATTATAGCATCTGTAGTGTGAGTAATCGCTAAATGTGTATCTTTTGTTAGTTTTCCCTTTTCGCTACTAATTTTATCTTAACTATTTAACCAACTAATAAAATTTTCTAAGAATTTAAGGATATTAAGGGAATTTTTTGTTACAGGTTGCTGGTACTCATTAAGAATTCTCAATCCCTTTTATCTGGTTTTTACATTGACTGGAATATTTTTGTTGAAAATTTAGCAAATACATCTTGAAGAGATGTCACTGACTGCTCGGTGTTATACAAAGTTGCAGATTCCACATTTTCTGCAAGCGCCTTTTGTATTAGAACCCATTAGTGCCCTAAACTATTTTTTGTCTGCTATTTTATAATTTCTCATATTTTTGATTTCATATGAGTCCATACTGACCATAAAAAATATTTAAAAAAAATATCAAGTTGATAAAAGCGAATTAGATGCTGAAACCAAATGGTATCACTGGTCGCCTATACTGCAATGAAATACAAAACTATTAAATTGTTCAAAAAATATATTTATTCGTTAAAAGCAACAATAAAATTATTATTTTGTGTGGTAGCTGGCAAAACAAGTTACACAAAGACCAACGTCACACTTAGAGCACATGGTTCTTCCAAAACTCTTGCATCCATCTCCGGCACAGCGGCGTCTATTGCAATGAACAACATAATGTTTCATACCGTCATAACGAATACCTGGTAACAGAGTGCGGGATACGGACGTTCTGGCAGGTCCTGGAGATTTTGCTGATGTACCGTAACGTGTCAAGTATTCTTGAGCTATCTCTCTTCTAAAGATCAAATTTGATGTTTTCTTGTGGTTCTGTCTATATAAAAACCACGCATTGTTTATTGCTGCATCAAGGAGCCAAGTAACAATTGGCCAGTACCACTTTTTACTGCGGATACCAATTCTATAATTAGAAATGCATTCATCCATTTGATCAGTTCCACCCATGTTACTGTTATATTGTGCAACACAATTAGGACGATTGAGCCCGGTACGTTGGTTCTTGATCAAGGACGTGAGAGACGGCCTACTCGAGCCAAGCAACGCGGTGTCGGGTTGGAGATTGGATGGGTGACCGCAGTAGTACGGGACGGTGGGTCGACCGCGCTGCCGCCAATCATCTGATCTCCAAGTATGAATGAGTAGGGGTAGAGCCCATTCGAATGACATACAAAAAGCCTATAAAGGCTGCAGTGTAGAGTATGGGCTCGAAAGGGTGAAACCAAAAATCTAGGACGATTGACCATTATACCTTTTTTCTCAGTTTGCGAAAATCGCTTTACTGTACCTGCTGGAGAGACTCCTGCACTTGTGGAAGCCATGGTCACAACCGCATTATCGAGCCAACGTACTAACAGAATACCAGATTTTTTTTCTAAGATGTGTTGAGAGTAACCTCTCTCATTCTTGGAAAACTTTTTCTCTTCTTCTAATGGGCAAGATTTAGGTATACGGTTTTCCTTTATAGTACCCAGTGCACTGTAACCAAAAAATTTCAAATATTCGAATAAATTAAATCCTGTGAAAAGGTTATCTACATGTAAATTATAAGGTAGAGTTGGATCATCTAGTTCCTCTAACATCAGAATTAGTGGAGATGCACATTTCCCAAATAGAGTATCATATTTTTCATTGCCGCGAGGAAGTTTTCGACATTGAAGGAATAGAAGTTTTCGAAGTCGGATGCATAGAAGTTTTTGACGTCGAAGGCATAGAAGTTTTCGACGTGGAAGGCATAGAAGTTTTCGACGTCGAAGGCATAGGAGTGTTCGACCTCGAAGGTGCGGAAATGTTTTGCACCAAGGATTCACTTACTTGATGGTGTAGCTCTGAAGGTGACTGTGTCGACGGTTCTGTGAAATTATC